GGGCTTGGTCCGGAATACCTCTTCGCACATTATATTCACCTGATTCCAAAGTCCGAAAATTCCAGAAAATCCGAAATTTCAGTTTTCGCAGATTTGTATTAGGAAAATATAATGACCGAGGAGGTATTCGGTCTTGGTCCGGAATACTTCTTCGCACATTATGTTCTCCTGATACCAAAGTCCGAAAATTCCGAAAAATTCGAAATTTCAGTTTTCGCAGATATGTATTAAGAGAATATAATGACCGAGGAGGTATCCGGGCTTGGTCCGGAATACCTCTTCGCACATTATGTTCTCCTGATACCAAAGTCCGAAAATTCCAGAAAATCCGAAATTTCAGTTTTCGCAGATTTGTATTAGGAAAATATAATGACCGAGGAGGTATTCGGTCTTGGTCCGGAATACCTCTTCGCACATTATGTTCTCCTGATACCAAAGTCCGAAAATTCCGAAAAATTCGAAATTTCAGTTTTCGCAGATTTGTATTAGGAGAATATAATGACCGAGGAGGTATTCGAACTTGGTTCGGAATACTTTTTCGCGCATTATGTTCTCCTGATACCAAAGTCCGAAAATTCCAGAAAATCCGAAATTTCAGTTTTCGCAGATTTGTATTAGGAGAATATAATGACCGAGGAGGTATCCGGGCTTGGTCCGGAATACCTCTTCGCACATTATGTTCACCTGATTCCAAAGTCCGAAAATTCCAGAAAATCCGAAATTTCAGTTTTCGCAGATTTGTATTAGGAAAATATAATGACCGAGGAGGTATTCGGTCTTGGTCCGGAATACTTCTTCGCACATTATGTTCTCCTGATACCAAAGTCCGAAAATTCCGAAAAATTCGAAATTTCAGTTTTGGCAGATATGTATTAAGAGAATATAATGACCGAGGAGGTATCCGGGCTTGGTCCGGAATACCTCTTCGCACATTATGTTCTCCTGATACCAAAGTCCGAAAATTCCAGAAAATCCGAAATTTCAGTTTTCGCAGATTTGTATTAGGAAAATATAATGACCGAGGAGGTATTCGGTCTTGGTCCGGAATACCTCTTCGCACATTATGTTCTCCTGATACCAAAGTCCGAAAATTCCGAAAAATTCGAAATTTCAGTTTCCGCAGATTTGTATTAGGAGAATATAATGACCGAGGAGGTATTCGGACTTGGTCCGGAATACTTTTTCGCGCATTATGTTCTCCTGATACCAAAGTCCGAAAATTCCAGAAAATCCGAAATTTCAGTTTTCGCAGATTTGTATTAGGAGAATATAATGACCGAGGAGGTATCCGGGCTTGGTCCGGAATACCTCTTCGCACATTATGTTCTCCTGATTCCAAAGTCCGAAAATTCCAGAAAATCCGAAATTTCAGTTTTCGCAGATTTGTATTAGGAAAATATAATGACCGAGGAGGTATTCGGTCTTGGTCCGGAATACCTCTTCGCACATTATGTTCTCCTGATACCAAAGTCCGAAAATTCCGAAAAATTCGAAATTTCAGTTTTCGCAGATTTGTATTAAGAGAATATAATGACCGAGGAGGTATCCGGGCTTGGTCCGGAATACCTCTTCGCACATTATGTTCTCCTGATTCCAAAGTCCGAAAATTCCAGAAAATCCGAAATTTCAGTTTTCGCAGATTTGTATTAGGAAAATATAATGACCGAGGAGGTATTCGGTCTTGGTCCGGAATACCTCTTCGCACATTATGTTCTCCTGATACCAAAGTCCGAAAATTCCAGAAAATCCGAAATTTCAGTTTTCGCAGATTTGTATTAGGAAAATATAATGACCGAGGAGGTATTCGGTCTTGGTCCGGAATACCTCTTCGCACATTATGTTTTCCTGATACCAAAGTCCGAAAATTCCGAAAAATTCGAAATTTCAGTTTTCGCAGATTTGTATTAGGAGAATATAATGACCGAGGAGGTATTCGGACTTGGTCCAGAATACCTCTTCGCTCATTATGTTTTCCTGTTACAATCAAAATTCGAAAGTATAGTAGTGATATAAGTCAATGACACGTCAGGCAACCAGACGAACTTTTAGAGGAGGGGAAGACAAATAGGTTTAATAAAGTAGTACAAGTGTTATTTTTTAAATTTTATTTTTTTCATACCTAACAAAGTACATATAATTCATACAATATAATTGACAATAATACAATATAATAAAGTATAATATGTTACAGAATAATACAATGTACTATAACGTAATATAAAACTATGTTATAATGTAATATAACAATTGATACAATATAATGTAATATAATATAATACAATATATATTAATAGAATACAATATATAATATAATACAATATATATAATATAATATAATATATAATATAATACAATACAATAAACGCAATTAATAATATTAATAATATAGGCAGAACTACTTCGACTTCTGAGAATTTCAGTATGTGCTTTATAGTACATATAAGCATTTAGGAACATGAAAACATATAATAAAATATAATATAGTTGAGTATATACATATAATAGAACATAATTTTTATTTTTACTGCTATTTATGTATGATTTATCCTTGTTAAAGTCTTCGGCTTATTTAAAATAAAGTTAAAAGTTATGTTCTATTATATACTTATTATTTATATTATATTTTATTATATTCCTCTAAATATAACGAGGAAGCACATATTGAAACTTTGTGAGGTTAACATAGGTATCTATTGTAAAAGACTAATTTTTAATAATCTACGTTTGGATTTAGAATTTATAGCAAAAAGAAAGCAATAAATATTAAAATAGATTTTCAATCTGTTTTACAATAGATAATTATTTCGACTTTTGAAGAAGAATATATATGTGGCGATCGACTCATTAAGAGTTATCGGAGCGTGTGGTAACGAGAACAAAAGAAAGCGAAGACGAGTGACTCAGGTGGAAGAGCCTCAGGGCGCTGCGTATAATTATGTCACCGGTCGGTGGAAGAACAGAGAAAGCACGTGCAATCTTCGAGAAAAGAGAAAGAGAGTGAGAGAGAGAGAGAGAGAGAGAGAGAGAGAGAGGGAGGGAGGGAGGCGGAGAGGTGCGAAAGGAGACCATAAGAGGTTCCACAAGAGGGAAAAAAAGAAGAGAAATGTTCTCTTTCTCTATCTTCCTCTCTCTTTCTCTCTCCCACTCTTCCTCTTTGCAAATAATATGAATCATTCCGAGGGCCTCTGCGCGCTGTGACTCTAGTTCGTTTCTTACCGCGCGTTACGTGGAAAAAATAAAAGGGGCAAGGAGCGAGATAACGAGAAAGAGACCAAATTTCAACTCACGTTTGTTTCGCCTGCCGTAATCTCCCCCCGCTGGCGGGCCGCTCACCGCTGCTTGGCACCGTTTATGTTTTAAGACACGACATCGTTTTGTACTATTCAAAGCTCGAAAGTGCTTACTTAGGACGGACTGGGCTAATCCCAAACGTGCATGCGTGGACACACTGGATGATGCGTGCGTCTCTATTCTCGATTTAGACTATACCCCTCTCGACCCCCTTCGCGCGCTTTATCGCTCCTTTTCCTTCTCAACCTCCTGCTCCTTCTCGCGCACGGTCCCCTGACCCTTTTTTCCCTCTCGCTCTCGCTCGCTCCCCGCGCCTTCGTTCCCGATGACCTGCCATCTATACCGCGAGGCCACTCGAGAGCGATCCCTCCAGTCCAGTAGACGCTTAGATTTACTTCTGCTACTCGCTGACAACTCGCCGTAATTATCAGCCACTTTAGATCTGGGTCACTGTTAGCCATGTGTCGGGAGCAACGAGAGCGAAGAAACGGCTTCACTAACGATTTCGTTTTCTACGGCAGCTGGAAATACTAGACGCCGGTATGAGCTGTGCACGAGCGCCCGGTCTTTCAACGGCCGAAGAACGATAGACTGTCGCGTGCACGTTGTATAGCGCTGTGTCCGCTCTTCCCTTTTCTGTTTTTTGTCCTTTCTTTCCGTCACCACCACCACCACCACCACGCTGCCATATGACGACTGTTCACCGATACATATTCAGCGTGAGTAATCGTGCGCCATAATCGCGTATACACATACAATAATACGGATTTGCATAATACTCTTTCCCTCTCCGAGATATATTCGCGCGTATACGAATAGAGCCTCTTGAAGAACCGATATGAATCTCACGGACACGTGCAACGAGCTGCGTTAAAAGGATATAAACACCGATCGCGCGGACGGTGGCGTTATCGCCGGCGCCGGCCGAGTGAAAATCGCCGATGCGCGATTTATTCGTTCATTGAAGCATTCTTCACACGACGATTCTCTTTCTTCTGCCGCACCGTCGCTTTTCACCGCTGCGCGCCTCTCCGCTCTTTCCGATATATTATCAGATCGATCGACACTACGTCGTTTCCCGGCGACATATTTCCGATATCGCCGGCGGATCTGTCGGATTTTCACCTGACTCGCGCGGCGCGCCGCCGATCGCCGGCCGCGGCAGGCGGTAGCCAGCCAATCTACTTGTTATTCTACGATTAAGCGCCTATTCTCTGCCTCTCCGGCTTATCCAGCTGTCGCTTTCAATCTCTGCCGACGTATTCGTCGGCGGTGCCGACTGACGTCGGCCTCTCGCACAGTAGCTAACCCCATCGTGCTTCTCTTTCTCGAGTCTATCGATCTACATCATCCCACTCGCGAGCGCGAGGCGCGAGCGCGGTATCGCAGATCGTTATCTCGGAGGGAGAGAGCGAGCGTGTTCGTGCCAAAGAGAATCGAGAATATGTCGCAGCGGCGGCGGCGGCGGCGGCGGTGAAACCGCGTTAACCGCGTTATCGCGGGATCGGTAGAAACGGAAAAAAAAAAAAAAAAAGAGCGCACCGCCCGTGCATTGTGTAACGAAGCGAGATTGGCCGTTAAACGAGCGACAACAAATGAGCTTATAAGTAGACGCGGAGATAGCGGGCCGCACAATGCTATCTGACTTATCTGCGAGACTCGTGGCAAACGCGAGCGCCGTGTCCGATAATTAGAAAGTAGGGCCATACCGTGCCGTATGTCGCGTGTCGTTGTGTAATTGCGCGCGGGCAGTCGAATCGGCCCGCGTGATCCTCGCTTCCTTCGCTGGTGATCGCGCCCGTCGATGTTCTCTCGTCCTTCTCGTCCAATCTGAAACTGAAAATGAAGCGTCAAGTGTTATTAAATGGATATATGTATATATATACACTGAGAAAAAATTGTATTAAAATTAAATAAACATGTTTTCGAATACGACTGTGAATACATTTATTCAAATTGAACGACTATTTTCTAAAATGAAATACAGAGGTTCTGAATGCAAACTTTTTTCTTGAATTTTAGAAAATAATTGCTTACTTTAAATGAACATATTCACAGTCGTACTCGAACAAATATTTGTTTAATTTTAATACAATTTTTTCTCAGTGCATATCGTGTCTAAATAATAGATATATTTAATCTACGAACTACACGCTAACGCTACACGCTACGCGCTAACTCGTGTGACTGCGCACGCGACGCGATAGAAAGCCTAGAATTAATCAAGAAAAGGGCGCGCACGCGCAAGTGATTATCATTCCAATAAGACGCGTGGATTCGCGCTTCTCTAAATCATATCCGTCGGAGGAATGCCGAACGCAATCGATAGGCCGTATCGATTAGCGCTTAATGGCTGCTCGTCCGAGGAGTCGGTAATTCCGCGGAGAAAATGCGCGGATTCAATTAACGAGAGTGATTGCGCCGGCGAAGGCGCTGCTTTGCAACGCGCGGCGCGCGCGGGATTGTTCATGAACGTTCGATTACCCGCATTCAGTGGCGGGCCGCGTCAATACAGGTAGTGCGTCCAGAAGTCGCGCGCGGTACGTGAGTTTGTCATGCCGCGCTCGAAGGTCACGGCATAACTCACTTCTATGACTATTTTATGGTTCGCCTCTAGAGAGTGAGTCATACGGGGTGGGAGACAATACTGGGAGCCCTTCATCATGCGTGGAGCCGCCGGTATGTGTGTAACGCGGCGTTTCCGTATAGAGAGCGGCGGAGGGAAAGAGGAAGAGAGGTGGAGAGAGAGAGAGAGAGAGAGAGAGAGAGAGAGAGAGCGAGAGAGAGAGAGAGGGAGAGAGGGAGGGAAAGGGCCCCTGTGCGTACCTGTTGAACATCCACATACAGCCGACTTACGCGAGTACTTTACGCACACGGAGACGCTACGTGAGCGTCGCACGGTAGGTGATTCACGTCAAACAAAAGGCTAAACATTGTGTGACCGCGGGTGGAACACGTGTCGAGGGATTTCAGATGTGGACCGCGCCAGTGTGTGTGTACAACGCGTCCTAGAGGTAGCGGTGAGGACGGAGGAACGGACGGACGGACGGACGGACGGACGGACGAACGAGCGAGGTGAAAGTGTAAAGCGAGGGAGGAGATGTAAAAAGATGTCATGCGTGCCGTCGTTACGATACGCGTGAATAATGGTCGGCGTAATGCGCTTGGAAGCGAGATATCGGACGAAGCGCTAGGTCTAAATTTAGAGACGGACCGCGGCGCGGCGCGGCGCGGCGCGGCATCGGTACGTGCGATTACTGGCTCACACGAGTGATACGATTTCTTCGAGTTTCTTAAATTATACGGACCAGATGTTCCCGTTTGTGGCTTTTCTATAAATCATCAACAGTGAGAAGATGTAATGGCAGCCGTAGGGAGAAGGAGAGAAAAAGAGCAATCACCACAGCAGCCGCGGTGCTGATGCATCGCCCTTTGCTGATATTGTGCGTGTGTGTGTGTGTGTGTGTGTTTGCGATAAAATTATTATTATACACGCACACACGCGCGGGGGAGAGAAACACGATCGCAGCCGTGTTGGTACTCTTCCGTCACTTTTCCAGTTCGCGAAACGTCTCAACCCTTGCTCGTGATATCTAGCAGCTTGAGACGGAGTGAGAGAAATATCTCTGTATCTGCAGAAAGAGAAAGAGAAGGATACGCCTCTCCCGTAACGGCGAGTCCTCCTCTTTCCCCTCCCATGTTCCCGCGTCGAGAGAGCCTCACGTGTAATCGTCGTCCGCATGGGAGAAGGGCGCGCCGATTTTTACGACTTATTTACACGCGATATCGCGACGCAGTTTACTCGGTTTTCAGGTCCACACCGCGTGTAGGTATAAACGTCGTCAATTGCCCTTCGCCGCCTCTCTCGTCCACCGTGGACCCGGGCGTTTCATTACGCGTAATTACCATGGTCTGCGGTCTGTCCTCTTGGCTACAGGTACGGTATCATTTTCATAATGACGCCTACCCCCACTCGCGATCGACCTGCTCTCTTACGTTCCTCTTGCCACGCTCCCCCGGCCGAAGAATAAAATCGTTCCCGGTGCATCCTAGAGCAGTTACGGCGGTGTAGGAGCGAAGCAGACGGAAGAGAAAAGAGGATACGCTCGGCCGAACGGATGAGGAACAAGTGGAAGAGACGCGAGAGAGAGAGAGAGAGAGAGAGAGAGAGCTGCTAAGCGAGATAGACAGAGGAGGGAGAGCAGGACAAAAAAAATACAATCAAGCACTTCGCTGTGACCCAATTCAACGAACACAGACCGTTGGATCCTGCGGCCCTTGTCCGACTAGGCTATTGAGAACTGACTTGCACACAGGGTACAATAGACCGGTTCGACATTATTCAACCTGGAAAAAGCACCATCCCTTCGCCCGAACGGGTCAGCTCCGGCGAGCGGGTATTTCTTCACTTTCTTATACCGGAAAATCACGGGTACCCCTTGACGACACAACACCAACGATGCCCTACATCTGTTGTTCCACTCGTTAACAAGTAGGAATTTGCTGTGACGATCGAGTTTGGACTCGATATTCAGAAAGGTGTGCGCTCTCCATCTCTCTCTCTCTCTCTCTCTCTCTCTCTCTTTCTCTCTGTGTCTGTATCTCGTGAGATAACCGGTAACAATGTCCACCGTTTAATAATTGGCGCGTAGAGAGATGTCATTTTTTCGGATTGACGATCGATAAATCCATCTGTAGACAAAAGTCGATAAAACGCATATATGCAATTGTGTCGTTGTTACGTTGGAATAAAATTCCAACGACGGTCTTCTTGATATTTTTTTCCGTCTTCCGTGAATCAATTGCACGGCGATGGCAGAAATATCGCGACGAGTTTACGCGTGCGTATTTCTACGTTGCTCGAAGCCGCGATCGAGACGAAGTTGCAAGTGACTACGCCAATGGGGCTCAGCTGCACTTTGCCTCCCTCGTGTTTCACTTTTTTCTCCCTTTGCTCGTTTCGTTTGTATCTCGACTCGGTCTGGTTCGCCTCGGCTCGGCGCTGCTCGGGCCCAGAACTGCCCTCCCGCTCTTACCCGCCTCACCGAGCCTCCGCTCGGTTGTCCCTCTTTCGCGAGGCCCTCTTCAGCCTCTCGCCCCGTTAGCGGGGCCCCACGGCTATCAGCCACTCGTGTTTACATCGGACCAGGTTGGTGGGGACCTCGACAAAACGACGAGCAAGTTAAAGTACCCGCCCGCCACCCTCCGCTCAGCGCGCAGACACGTCAGTTCGATAGCCGAGGAGAGAGAAGGACGGAGGACTCTGCACGAACACACGTGGAGGGTGCGGGGGTCTCCACGTAGAAAAGCTCGGAGCCAGAAACGAGGGTCCACCGGAGGACAGAAAGAAGGAGAGAGAGAGAGAGAGAGAGAGAGAGAGAGAGAGAGACAAAAAGGGAGGGGGGAGAGAGGAGAGTCGTCGCGCACGTACTCGAGGATTTGTCAAAACAAAACCCCAACCTTTCGTCGAGTCACGTTCTAAGGACAGAGAGAGAGAGAGAGAGAGAGAGAGAGAGAGAGAGAGAGAGAGAGAGAAAGAGAGAGAGAGAGATCTCCCTCCATCGTGGGTGGAAGGAAAGAACCATCGTGGGGGAGGGGGGAGGTTGAACCGTATGAGATACTACAAGCGATATGGCGTTGCCTGTTTTTCCTAACAATAAACTGGAAAAAAGTGACCTCCTCAGGTTCGACCGTTCGCCTCGGGGGTATCCTTCGCCACAGTGCGGATCAAAATCCAAGTAATTACGGTACCTGGAAAAGGCTCTAGTCTCCGGTCTCTGCGCTCGGAGAATCGAGACCGGACGAGAAAAGGAGGTGAGCAGAAAGGGAAGGGAAGGGAAGGAAAGAGAGAGAGAGAGAGAGGGGGGAGAGGAGAAGGGGAGAGAGAGAGAGAGAGAGAGAGAAGGCTCCCTCGGAGAGATCGGCGGATCCACTATCCAGGATTACTCGTTATCCTTGAGAGAAGCCTGCGCGCGACGGCCCTCGATGCGCTCGAGGAATATAAGACGAGGGGGAGTTGGGTGCTGGGGCTATACGCTTCGTTCGCCCGCAGCTTTTTTCCTCGCCTCGCTCTTGCCCCTTCCTTCCCGTCCCGTCCCGTCCCTTTTCTGCCTCTTGACACCTGTTCTCGGCGATGGATCCGAATCCTTTTGGGGATTCAGGTAGATCTACGCGGATACAGACTCGGTGCAAGGTTCGACGTACTGTTGCTGTCGCAACTGACTGCGGCGCATGGGCCAGTGTTGCCATCCTCGTTCCGCCACGTGACGCCAGGTATAGTTTTACCTCGCGAAATTCATGTTTTCGAGACTCGAACAAATGGAAATTTCCCCACGAGACGTGACATTAAAATGCAAATCTATTCTTCGAGACTCTCTCTCTCTCTCTCTCTCTCTCTCTCTCTCGCTCTCTCTCTCCTTTTCCCTCTTTCTTTCTTTTTCGCCATGAGGATACGAAACCGCGCGTATCGTAAATCGATACCTAATCGTTCCGCGATCGGAGAGACTCCGCGAGAGAAGGCGAGAGAAAAAGACCAGGACACACACACGCACACGTACATACCTACCGCGCGCTCGGCCGACGGCTCGAAAGACGCGGGAAGACACGCTGGGGATGCACCTTGCACCCGTGCTGCACATGTGCTTGCTCTATACGCGCGCCTCCATTTACCGGCGCGAGTTAGCGCCGCGACGTGCCGCCGCTACTGACAACTCCATTCTCCGGCACAAGGAAGTGCCGAGCGAAGATTGGACGGACTCGACGCGGATTAAACCGATCTCGGGGATTCACGGAACCGAATTGCACCAGCAGTGGCGGTCCGCCGTACGTCC